TCTTCTGATTCTCTGGCTTTGGTTTCTTGTTAGGGTACTTTTCATTTATAATCTGCCTAATGTACTGACTTAGAAATATCAATTCTCAAGACATATGTGGTGGTACACACCTGTAATTCCAGCATTTGGGGAGGCTGAGGCAGGACAATTTTGAGTTTAAGATCTCATCTCAATCAAAACAAAAATTCTAATTTCTCATTTTCCACCCAGGTACAAGACTCATTTCCCTAATTTCTCCTAAACGTGGGACCCGCCCTCAATCCTCCTATCCCAGAGTTTTGTCTTGTAGTCAGGAGTGTACTCTGCTAATGGTATTCTTGCTTCCCACTGAAGCAGCCTTCATGGTAAAACTCTTGGGATATTACACCAAACAGCCACAATCTTACTGTCAATTTTTCAGATTGCTACCTGTCCCCAAACTTGACACCAAGGTTTTTCAAAATCACAAATTCAGTTTCATGACTTTGAAATGTTATTAAAAAAAAAAAAAACAAAAAAAAATAAGCACAGTCGCCTAAAGAATTTATCATGATTCATAGTACATAAACATTTTTTTAAAAGACATCTTAGGATGAGAAACCTTATTTTGTTCCTTATATCCAAGATTAATCTAAAATTCCTGGGTCATAACTAATTTTTTTAAGAAGATCTTTTTTTCTAGAATGAAAATACCCCAATGCCAAGAATAATCTTGCTCCCTACCAGATCTACCTGTGGTCATCATTTTAGGTCTGTAGGATGGAGAAGTCCTTAGTCCCTTTCAACCTGTCTGTTGAGTACTTTGAGTACTGTTACTTTCCAATGCGATTATTCACTTCCTCTAGGTTAGCCTTTGGATTGAGAGGAAAAAGTGCTCTGCCACTCCTCCCTTTTCTTATAAATATTGCTCTAGATAGTAAAGAGGATTTGCCTTTTATCCTTTTCAACCCTTATTCCCAAGTTGTCTAAGAATCAAGAAACTAAAACCACAAGCAATTTAGCACAATAACTGATATATAACAATACTTAACATTAGTTTTTCTCCCTCCCCCTCTTTCTTTTCTTCCAGTTTCCTGGACCCACTCCCTCCTTTCCCCCTTTCCCCACCCACCATTGGCCAATGCTGGTCCCAAACTAAACAAATGAATGCCATTTTGCAGTATAAATATTCTGTAGCTCTAATTCACATATTCTGATTCATTTATTCTTCTGTATACTATCCAAAACAAGGGGAAGTGGAATAATACCAGTCATCTGGTTGACCTAAAATATATAAAACCACTTGCAGGAGAGTATTAAAACTCAAAAAATACAAATAAATTTCAACATGAGATCACTTCCTCTTTGCCCCTAAATTACTTCTTGAACAATGCAGGAAGTAATGCTAAGCAACTTTAAGCTTTAAACATCATAGAAATTGGCAATAGTAGTAAATTTTGGGTTTTTCAAGATGTTGCATTTTGTGGGTTATTTTCAATTGTATTACTCATATTAAAAATATTTGCTCAATATCTGTGCTTTTATTCTCTAGATTCTCTATAGAAAATATCTTTGTACTATCCTCAGTCTATCAGTTCTAGCCCCATCTTCCAACCCTAAAGATGCATCTACTGTGACCAAATCTCTTTTACTCATATAGGTGCTGTAATAGGGCCTCTCTGAAATAAACTGTGAACTTCTAAAGCAATCATCCCCTAAACTCACCAGACCAATCAAATTTTTCCTTCCATCTCATATCTCTAATTCTTCAGTATATCTACCAAAACTGCTCAAGCCCTTTTTACCCCCTTATATTTCTCCATTTTGTGAGACCTCTGATCCCCTAACAGAAATGACAAATATTAGTACAGAAGCTCCTGAATTATGTGAAAAATCAGGTTCCTAAGTTTTTTCTAAGTCTTTGAATTAACTTAGCCTGCTTTTTCCCCCTCAAGTCTATAAGTACTGAAAATTGCATTAACCTGGTATAGTTGTCTACAAGCAGATCTCACCATGTTGCTCATTAGGCATTACTGAAGTTCAAGCAGGAAAAAGCTCTTACAGCCCATTAGTTAATCTGTTCTTCCAGTAGAGAAAAGTCACCAGGTAAAGGCCTAGGTTTGTTCTTCTTTTAGCTCTGACTGCTACACTATAGCCTTCCTAAAGGTTTCTTTATGGTGACTCCCTAGGGGATGGTTCAGCTTGGTTACAATATCCTTTTTCCCTTTAGAACTATGAACCCTTTTAAGTTGACAACCATGTCAAAACAAGACATCAGAAATCCATCTATTTCCAGGCCCTAGAGAATTGCTCAGTAAACTTCATGACTATTATCTTTAGTTCAGAGAAGTATGCTGAAGCTGAGGACAGCACAATAATAAAGCTTCATCAACAATTACTCATCTAAAGGACATTAAAGACTATAGTACTCAACATCAGGTCTTTCTCTCAGACTTAGACTTGGGCTAATTATTGAGACAAGAGATAAAATGAGAGCAATCTACTGATCAAAAAATTTTGGGATCCCAGGACATTAATCACCAGGATATCAAAGCAACCCTTATCTGCTTTCCTCTTGGGTACCAGAGCCATTTTTTGTTGTTGTTTTTTTCCCAACCTTTACTTTCCACACAGACACCACCTATGACTGAACTCAGAAATGTGACCAGTAAATGCAACAATCTCAGGTTAAGGGAGAAAAGGACAAGAGATGAAGGTTTAAAGAGGAGAAGCAGAGACACTAAAAGGTAATTCCTTTCATGGGCATATAGCATGAATTAAAAGCTCCTTTCATGGCTCTTGGCAATAAGTATTATTACTTTGCTTTCTACCTCCCACCCATAACTTGAGCATCCAAATAGACATTTGTCTTCTCAATCACCTCTAAAGACCCCTCAAAATTATGGAACCTTAAATATCCAGTAGGAAGCAATCAATACCCATGGTAGGCCTAATCACTCTAGTTGGATGGTGAGAGAGGGAAGGGGGAAGTAAATAAAAAGTGGATGGGTGGATAAGTGATGGAGAGACAGCTACTCAGAGTGAAGACTGGTAGAATTCTAACAATGATTCCTAGATGCGTTAAAGTTCCTGCCTACATTCTCAATTTATTTAATTCCAAGGCTGTTGAAACACTAGGGGTGTTCCTATAGATGAAAAAATTCCACATGTGGAAAATAAAATCAACTGAAGTGTCCAATAATTTTCATTTTGCCTCTCAGGCCAACCAGAAGACTTGGTAGCCTACCTCTCCCTAGGAATGGTAGTTATTTCTGCATTGAGGAACTCCTCATTCCCATTCCACTTAGTCCTTCAGAATGACTAAGATGTGAAAGGAGAAGCCACTGAACAGTTTAAAAAGTCAGCAATCTTTAATAATGGAAATCTGTTTGGCAAGAATACTATTAGCTTCCTTGAGGCATTAGCCTTTCCATATAGTTAAGAATGTCTGTCTAGGAGAATAATGCTTAAGAAATTTGTAGTATGCTTTCTACTCAGTTATGATCTTGGGTATGAGGAAAAAAGTCCAGGCTAGTTAAGTCTTTAGGCCTGAATTGTTGACAGACATTGCTAAAAAATGGAAATACTATTCTCAGTACATTTAAGTTCAAACTCATAGTCATTAGCTTATAATATAGAAGGCCTAAAACTAATTCCTTATCTCTAAGGACTAACCTGAAACACATAGTTCCATGATCTGGAACAATCTCTTCTCTCCTGTGTAAAGGATATGATTAAACCAAAAGGCAAGGGTTCACAAAAATCTTGAGGATTCAAAACCAGGCTGGCTACCCTCATCAACAGCTTTTGAATTTCTCATTTCCTGTGTTTGGATGTACCTTTTAGAGCTTACAACTTCCAGAGATCTATCTCCTAATCGATTTTCAGCTGCTATTTGCCTAATGGTCATAATAGCAAGACTGAGGTATATGGGAAAATTTATCCTCAGTGTCCTTAAACATGAAAGGGAAAGTAATTCTCCCTTTAGAGTTTTGGGAAAGATATTAGAAATATAAAACTCTTAAATAAGCCTTTAACTTTGATCTACATCCTGAATTGACAGTTTCCCAGGAAATCTTAGCAATTACGTACACCAATCCCCATGCTGTCACTCTTTTATAACATAACGGAACCAGGGAACCGGGATACTGAGGAGCCTGGTTTTAGAGTATCCTTTAAGTCTAAACAGCTTCTTACCAACTTTCCTTGATGACTGTTGAGCTTAAAACCCACTTACCTCTCCTGTCAGGAGGAGTCAGGGTACATGTAGCTCAACTCTTGATGGCTTCATACCACCATTATTTGTGTGATTTTTCTACTAAAAAAAATTAACATTTTATGGATTCCCCTAACCCACTTAAATTTTTTTTCTAGTCTCTAGTGTTTTCATGCACCTCTCCAGTCCCTAAGAATCTTTTGTTTTGGCAGTTTATGAATCTATAGCAATTCTGAGACAGAGAACCCCTAAGGATAAAGTGGAGGAAAAATATCCTTCATTAGATATGCTCAGAGGGTATAGACATTAGAAGTAAATGCAATGGAGCAAAAGTGTTATAGTAACAGGAAATATTTAATTTTCCAATCTCCACTTTCCATTTTTATAAACTGAAAAAATTTAATATATTACAAAATATCTGTACATAGACAAGATACACCTGATGGGGGAGGGAAAAAACAAGAGAAAGGAAAACAGTGTCAGGAACCTAGGGAGAATGAGGTGGCAACTGACACTTTTTGATGCAGCATTGCTTTTCTCAAAACCTGCTGATAGCCATTTTAGTACTGTAACTATATATGCATATTATACACACACATACAAGTGGTTGGATGATGTCTGTGGCAGAAGCTAACAAAAATCCTAATTACAAATTTGTGTTAACTGCTCTGCTTTAAACATCTGATGTTATTTTCAAATTCTTATTCCTACAAGTAGTTGAAGAAAAAACTGAGGAAATGGTTAGACAAATTTGTTTTCAAAACCACAAAAAGGATCATGGTCAAACCAGTTTTGCCTTTCATCATGAACAGGATCAGATTTCTCATCTGTTCAAAATAATGAATTTAATAGACTTAGTATTTCCCATGGTACAATAGTTTTAAACAAAAACAAAACCACTTTTGAATGGAATTTGGTTTGTAATTTCCAAGCAGTCAAGTTGAAATTCAGCCAAACTTTTACTTCCATCATGTTTATAGACAACGTAGCTGAAAAATCCGCAAATACTTTTTTCCTCCACACATATTCCAGAATATTAAAACAATTCTCCCATTTTTAGAGTCAAAATTTAAAAAAAAATTTCATTTCATTTTAAAGATGCCCCAAATGAGGGTGAGGGTGAGATGGGATCATACATACACATACACACATTCACTCATACACCCATCCCCTTCGCTAGTAGGGATGGAGAAATGGAAGCTTACGTATATTATTTAGAATATTTGGCATAATTAAAAATAAGGGATGGCATAGGGGAAGGAAAAACACTACTGATGATTGTTTATAACCAAAATACAATGAAAATATAGAGAATTTTATTCATATTTGGTGGGAAAACAATTATTTTTTTTCTCTGGGCAGATACTACTGAACGTATTTCAGGCTCAGCTTTAACCAAAAACAGAGGAATGGAGTCCAATACCTCAAATTCAAATATTCTAACATACAAAGTCCCATGTCTGAAGACTAAAGTTATCAGACAGAACGTTCAGATGAACTTCAGTAAGTGTGGTTTACCAATATTATGTCAGTGTGCCTAGGAAATCTAGCTGGACACACTGGTTTACAAAACCCATCAAAGCCAAAATGGTTAGAAGGTTTGATTACTAGCCTGAGAGCAAGGCCAGACCAAAACCCAGAGAATAAAGAAATACACCTATATATACATATATGTGTATATATGTATACACACACACACACACACACACATATATATATACACACACGCACGCACACACACACACACACACATATGTATCAGTAAAGGGAAAATAGTTTTCATCAGAATATCTGAAGAGGGTTCTTCTTTCATTTCCTTAAAGTTTTTTTTTTTTAATTAATGCACCTTTCTTCTTATAAGTAATTTTATTGTTTAAGAACCTGGCATTGAAACATAAAACTTCACTTGAGTTTTTAAAGTATTCCAAGATACTAGAGGATTTTTGCCTTTCTTTGTAAAAAGAAAAGAGGGGGGGTTGCCTAAACTACATTTCATAAAGGACTAAGACTGTGAAGATCAATAATGACATGTATCTGTTTTTAAAATACTCCATAAGCTGGTACTCATAGAAATAGAAGTTAGAATGAGAAGCCTCTCAAGTTATCCCAACCTGAGAGCCTTTTTCCTTTCTTGTTATAAGGCAAGTTCTTGCCAGGCAATTTACACTTAACCCTTTTTTTTTTCTTTTCTTTTTTTTTTTAAATCAAAACCAAATCTTTCTGGAGCAAAGTCCCTAAAATTGGTAGGATATACATGCTGGAGATATGTATATGTCAATACTGTTCTTTCTCACAGTATGCTATTTTTAAATTATCTTTTTAAAAAAAGGTATCAGGTATTGATATATTTCAAAAAATATCCACCCCAAACTAGGTTACATTTCCATATATTTTCAGGAGTTTTTTTTTTTTTTTTAAATTCTCTTTGACAATAGCACAATGCTATTTGAACGGTGGTTTTCTTTTGGGGAGGGGGACATAAAAATAGTATGTGTAAACAATATGATAACTGCTCTTATAAGCCCTCTAGGAATGGAGGCATCATTTCTAACTACAGCTCAGTAGCAATATTCTAAGCTGTCCATACTTTACAAATCAGTTTCCCCATCTGAACATGGTTTTAAAAAAACAAAACATTTTAGAATTGAAGAGTTACAGAGAACAATGTAGGAGTTTGAATTTCCTTTCCTTTATTAAAAAAAAAAAAAGGTTAATTATTATTCCAGGTTCTTGGGCAGCTCAGTGATTTTTTTTTTCCAAACAAATGCCTCAAAGAGAGAGAGGGAGAAAATAGGAAGGAGGGGGAAAAAGAAGGAATGGAGGAGAGGGGAGAAAGGTAAAGGAAAGAAAAGCAAACAAACAAAAAAAGGGATGAGACTGGGTAAAGTCTACCTACTTGCCCAAGAATGCCACTTTCTATAACCTGCTTAACTGCAGGGAGAGAGGCATATCTTTTGTCAAAGTGGAGCAAATTTTAAGCATGAGTGATTTATTTGGAAAAAAGGTATGTTCAAGATGCTCAACAGGGGTCAAGGGGGAGTGTTCACTTAAAAGCAAAAAATGTGACATGGTGGAGAGGAAGGAAACCTTTATTTAAATCAGCCAGGCCACTCGTTTCACTTCTAGCAAAAGCCTAAAAACAGGTCAAATTTTGTGAACACTATTCTCTTTTGACGAGGGGAAAATCTAAATTAAAATTCATAAGAAACCAACCACAAAAACAAAAACAAAAAACTTTAAAAAACAAAGAAAGCTTCTCCTGAGCCATCTCAAAAGGGAATCTATTCTCTCTTCTGCTTAAGAAGTGCAGGCAATAAGCTAATTAATGTAACATTTACTTTTCAATTTAATGACCCTCTCCATATTCTCTACTGTATGTAGATATGAAGTAAATGTTCTAGCTATAGCCCATCCCAGGAGAACTGGTGCCAACATTCTAAGTCACTTGCTAGCAGCAAGTGAGCAAGGAATACAATGGACAGCTTTGCAGTAGCCAAATGCAGATGATTACCTCACTCTGGCAAGTGATTTCATTAAAGGTTCAGAGGCCTGGATGGAAAGATGGATAGAGATGGAATCTCTCAAGACAATGAAGTCTCTGGGTTAGTAAGGAACTCCTCTCCCTCTTCCCCCTCCTCGTGATGGGACTCTTGTAGAACCCCGGTAGAGTTTTCCATAAGCAGAAGACTGAGTTGGGGCCCCCCAGTGAAGGCTTGCTCCTGAGCTGCTGGCCCCAGTGGTTCCTGGCCCCAGCTCCCCATAGTTTTGTAATTTAGTCTCTGCATGTACTACAGAGTTGCTGTTTCCCTCAGCCTTCAGGAATGGTTGCCCAGCCACTGAGTGTAATGCTAAGGGGACCCTGGCAAAACGGAGGTCCTGGTCCCCTGGGAACTGCACTGACCCTGTGCCCTGGTAATTGCTGGATTCCCCAAGGTGGCTCACAGAGCCTGAGAAGGTCCTGTTCTTCACCAGTGTCTGTACCAAAGAAGATTCTGTCAAGGCTGAACCAGAGCTGCGTTCATCAGTGTCAGTGGCACTGAACCCTGTTTCGGGCCCATCAGTGTTTCCGTAAGTCCTGTTTGGACGGGGTCGAGTGGAGTACTCCATTGGTCTCAAGGCCTGGTGCTCATGTGGCAGGTGGCCAGGAGGCTCTGCTTCAGGCTGGGATAAAAGTTGCAGCAAGGCGGCTGTCACGGCAGGGTTCAACTCCTGGGGGGCGCTGGAAATATCGCCTTCAACCAGAGGGGGTGGAGGTGGCGGCGGTGGAGGTCCAGGGGGTTCAGGGGGCCTCTTCTCTGGTGGAAGAATGTGAGGAGGACATGCTGTGGAAGGGTTACTTCTTTTAAACACCATCTTAAAAATCACATGTGATTATAAACACATGCTCACATGCGCGCGTGTGTGCACACACGTGTGCACTCACACGCATGCACACACACACACACACACACACACACACACACACACCCCAACATAAATATCAATACAAGTAACAAGATAAAGAATAAAATTTTGGAATCAGAAAATTATAATTTATAAAGAAAATCAAGATTAAAAGTAAAACAGTTGCATTCTATATCTAACAGCTGGTGTAAAACAATCATGTTTCAAATGACTGTTCTGGTTTTTTTCTGAGATTTCTTCCATTTTCTTGCTTAAAGAGCTGTGCTAATATGTAGATTGTTGCAACTTCCCTTTTTGCTGTTAGATCAAAACATTATTGAAAATAAAGCAGAAAGAAGATGAGAGGGAACAATATGCATTCTGCAGTCATATTTCTAAGACATTATCTTCCTGTGTAACAGAGACCTTGAATGGGACTTGGCGGATTAACACATTTACAGAATGTTTGATGATATAAGGTTACCTGAAATACAAAGTAAAACAATACATAGGAAAGATGAAATAAAAGCAAAAACTTCCCATTCCTTCCATGTATAAAAACACACATTTGCTTCTCCAGGCTTTAGTTATCTCTCCCTAGAATTACATTCATAAGAAAATAGTAACTGCAGTGCTGACATTAAACTTCTTATGTTATAATAATTATAAAGACTAAAGTAACCCATAGTAATTTTCTATTTTGTTTTCCTACCTTTGCATTTTTTCATGCTATGGAAAAAAAAATCACTCTAAGCGATGTTATATAGAACTGAGTTGTTGATAAACATGTTATTCTAGAGATAATAAGAAATTAGTATTGATAAATGTATTAAATCATTGACCTCAGTCTTTATAAAGACCTCTGTCTTCTTAAATCACTTCCCAGATTTTCTTTTTTTCACTATCTAAATTTGCCTATTTGTCACAAACACTTATGTGATAATGGACGACTGCCAATGTAGGAGAGCAGAGATGTAAAATGGCGTGAGTTTGAGGATATACAAAACCACTGAGACAGAATTACAGTTAAGAACAGTGCCTTTGCTGGGTGCCAGTGGCTCATGCCTGTAAATCCTCAGGAGGCTGAGATCTGATGATGGTGGTTCAAAGCCAGCCTGGGCAGGAAAGTCCATGAGACTCTTATCTCTAATAAACTACTCAGAAAACTGGAAGTGGTGCTGTGGCTCAAGTGGTGTAGAGCACTAGCCTTGAGCTTAAGAGCTCAGGGACAGCACCCAGGCCCAGAGTTCAAGCTCATGACTGACCAAAAAAAACAAAACAAAACAAAAAAAACAGTGCCTTTAGAGAACTGGGAGTCAACCTGCTAAAGAAAAGGTTTAATGTTTTAATCCTATCTCCCAAATAACCAAATTCTACCCCCCCCAACAAATCCATGTAGCCATTCTTCATTATCTAAGCTAGTGACTTAGACAAGCCATAAAATTTTTAGTTATAGATATTTTTGCAGAAAATTTACCTTATATTTTGCAAAGACAATCAGTAAATAAGTTTGCATTTCCTAAGTATACAAATGAAAGCATTCTAAAAACACCACAAAATTTAAGATTGTGAAGTATTACGATAATAATAAGTAAGGTGCTATATGTAATATACAAGTAGGGCAATCAATAACCTCAATGTTACTGGAACTGAAGGCATTTCCAGGCTGCCAACTTTCAGTTTTAAAACAGGCCAGTCCACGGATGAGTTGGTCACCTTGTATGTAGTTGCTACTAATTTACTTGTTGACAGGCTGGTTGGCAGGGGAATATAAAAATATGCTATAGAAACTGGAACACTTGCTAACACCTGTAATTTAGGATACTTGGAAGGTAGAGATCAGGAGAATGAAAGTTTGAGACTAGCCTCAGAAAAAATTATCAAGACTCCATCACAACTACAAGCCAAGCATGTGATCCCAGCTATGTGGGAGGCCGTAGGTAAGAGGGTTGTGGTCTGAGGCTGGTCCAGGCAAAAATTTGAGACCCTACCTGAACAATAACTAAAGAGAAAAAAGGTAGCTGGGTGCTGGTAGCTCACATCAGTAATCCCAGCTATTCAGGAAGCAGAAATCAAAGAATCATGGTTCAAAGCAGCCTGGGCAGAAAAGTCTATGAGACCCCAATTAACTACCAAAAAGCCAGAGGTAGAGCTTTGTTTGGTTCAAGTGGCAGAGTGCTAACATTGAGAGAAAAAGCTAAGGGACAATGCTCAGGCCCTAAGTGAAAAAGTAGTGGTATTTAAAAAAAAAAAAAAAAGAAGAAGAAAAGAAGAGAGAGGAGATGAATAGATAGGTAAGAGACAAAAGAAGAGAGGGAGAGAGAAAGGTTGGGGTATGGCTCAAATGGTAGAATGCTAATGCTGAGTTCAAACGTGTGTCCTGAAAAAAAAAATCAAAGCCATGGAAAATTCATAACTTGAAGATACTCTGGAAAAGGTAGGGTAATTAGACCATAAGCATTTTAGTCTTTAGCTATTAATCTCACTATTTAAAAACATTAGGACTTAAGGCATGGTTTAAGTGGTAGAGTGGGTCTAGCAAGTGTGAAGCTGACTTTAAATCTTAGTACCATTAAAAAAAGAAAGTCAGAGCTGGCAAGGTGGCTAAGTGGTAGAATGTTTGCCTCACATTCATGAGGCCCTGGGTTCAATTACTCAGCACCACATAAGCAGAAAAGGCTGGAAGTGTTGCTGTGGCTCAAGTGGTAGAGCACTAGCCTTGAGCTGAAGAGCTGAGGGACAGTGCCCAGGCCCAGAATTCAAGCCCCACAACCAACCAACTGACAAAAACAAAAAACAAGAAACAAAAGAGAAAGTGGGTGGGGGGGGGGGGGGGAGTATTTTGGGGAATGTCTGTAACATAAAATGGAACATCATGTTTCACAGGCATAGACTTTAAAAATAACTAATCATAAAAATGGGCCAATTTAAACTCACATTCCACATGTATAAATTTTGCCTTTTATATAGCTACATTTTATTTTGTTCTATTTTGGTGGTACTGAGGACTAAATTCAGGACATAGTACTCACTAGGGTACTTATTCTAAAAAATAATAAAAAAAAAAAACTTGCTTTATAATGATCTACGCCTTCAGCCCTGTTTCAACATAACTAATTTTTGGGCTCAATTCTTTCATGTTTATAAAATGAAAATTTTACTCCAAGTAAAAAAGTAGACGAATTGTAAAGAACTATAAAAATTTTTCAAATATGAGCTATTCACATCTGAACAATTCATATTGCTGTCAGATTTAAAATGTTAATGTTGCCAATTCTTACTAGTTCTGTACTAATGAAAAGAGGTATTTAATAAATGCAAACATAACTTTAAAAGCTTCTTTTGATTCATTAGATTTCAATCATCACCCTTTCCTAACAAGTACAGAACTGCTAAACAACAGCTAGACTGACAGGTTGTCCCCTTTTCTAGTTCATATAAATGCCCTCTGCTGGAAGTGCTAATGAATAGTGAAATAGCTAACTAAAAGATATCAGGGAAGAAAACAAAAATTGCCTGTAATCTCATACCTGGGAGATAAAAACAAGAGGAGTGGGGTTTTGAGGCTAGCCCGTGCTATACAACACAAGAAACCCTGTGGAACAGCAACTAGATAATCCAGTTGACTAAATAATTAGTTGAATTTTTTTGTACTCTTCTTAAAAAATATATCCAGTGGCGTCTGGCTATAGGCCAGCACTTAGTTTTACTTCAATTTCATCATGTGACTAATAGCTCCTTGAACCAATTATTGGGTAAATTTCTTTCACTGTTATTTAGTTTGACCAACTTCTTTCAGACTTTATTTATTTCGGTGCCTGTCCTAGGGGTTTGAACTTAGGGTCTGGGTGCTATTCTTGTTCAAAGCTAGCATTCTACTACTTTAGCTATAGCTCCACTTCCTGTTTTTTGGCGATTAACTGGAGGTAAGAATCACATAGATTTTCTAGACCAATCTGTCTTCAAACATTGATCCTCAGATCTTGGCCTCCTGAGTAGCTAGGATTACAAGTGTAAGTCACCAGCTCCTAGCTTTTCCCCCCCTTCTTCAGATTTTTTTTTTTTTTTTTAGTCCACTGTGGGGCTTGAACTCTGGGCCTGGGCACTGTCCCTCAGCTCTTCAGCTCAAGGCAAGCACTCTTACCACTTGAGCCACAGTGCAACTTCTGGTTTTCTGGTAGTTAACTGGACATAAGAGTCTCACAACTTTCCTACCAGGGCTGGCTTTGAACCATGATCCTGAGATCTCAGCCTCCTGAGTAGCTACGATTACAGGCATGAGCCTCCAGTGCCCAGCTCCTTTCTTCAGATTTTTTGTTAAAGCTAGATTTCTAGGAGAGGGACTGGAGGAAAAAATCACAATCTGAGAAATGAGAAAAGAGGCTTGCTTTAATTCTAGATAGTCTTTTCTTATTCTATGTTCTTGAATCTCCTAAAAATTCATGACAGAGTGGCAAAGTGAATAAAAACTATAATCACTTGAGATTTAGTTTTTGCTTCTGTGAATAATCACAGAGGGACTACAGATAGGATGTATTTAAACTTTTGGACCAAAGTTTTCTAAATGAAGGGCTAATTTTACTAATTATCTCCCAATTTTAAAAAAACTTTACATTTTAAAAATAGTTTATGCCCTTGGCTTTATATCATTGAAATAAAGCATATACTTTCTATACCATCTCGTATGAATGCAGGACCCTAAAGGTGAAGGTCAGTATACTTCTTCAACTCTTGTGATTCTTCCCCAATTCATAGGAATCTTCCTTGACAGTAAAAACTTCCAGGAAATTGAAAACAGTTTCAGATATGTAAGATTTTGCAAACAGATTATGAATCAGGATTATAGAACTTAAATGTTTTCCTTCTAATAAACTGCGTGCTCTAGTCATGTGAGATAAAGATATAAACCAGTCCTTCTTTTCCTTTTCCTTTTTATAATGTTTTCTGATCTGGGGTCCATTCCATGGTCTCTTTCAGTAACACAGATTTAAAGAAATAATTTTTATGTTATTTTTTGGAAAGAAACTGGACAGCGTTAACTATCTATTTAGATCAATTCCCAAATTATGCTCAGAAAGTCAAATGATATTTTATTAAGGTATCCTGCATCTACTCCACTAGAAATAAAGAAGCACAACCTGATAATGATTTTTTTTTAAGAAAGCAGATTTTCTAAGACTAGCTGGCCGACATACACAGTGCTTCCAAAAAGCACCATTAACCATGGTTTTAGTTTCCTTGACAATATACAAGGCTTACTTACCTACATCCTAGGAATTGAAAAAAGTAATTGATATATTAAAGATGTTTTGAGACTTAAAGACATTGCCAAGGAATACATCACTTGGTGCTATGTTCTCCTGTAGACTGGGTTACAGAAAATCTGAAACTGAGGCCATTGGTGTGAAAAAGATGTTAGAGAGGATCAAAAGCACCTGCTCAATGAGATTTGACCGGTCTGTTTACCTGCTGCCTCCTCCTGTGGCATTGTGGGAGTTCTTCGAGGCCCCTGTGGCCCACTATTCTTGTCACTGTTGTTTTCCTCAAGGTTGCCTGCTGGCTCCTGGGTTTTCACCAGCTGACCCAAGAGAACTGCCAACATATTCTGCATGTCAGCTGGTGTGCTTGAAGCTTCAGGGGTCGTCTGTTCTGCTGAAGGCAGGACAACTGGTGCAGGGGGTGCTTCCTTCAAAGACTCCTCTGGGGCTATGGACTCTGAGTTCTGCTGCTGAGAACTGGCTTCCGTCAGGGCACTGATGGATTGGTTTAGGGCTTCCAGCTGCTGTTGCATCTCTGGGTTGGAATGGATGTTAAGCAGCTGTGCCATCTGAGGGATACTCAGGTCTGTTTGGCTCTGTAGCAGATTTAATAACACTGCCAATTCACTTTGATTTAGCTGCTGTGTGATGTCACCAAGGCCTGTGGGGAGACAGTGTAGCAATGTAAGATAGGCAGGAAAAGAAACCATTGCTTTGACTGACAATAGCAACTTATAATAGCTCAAGAATAAACTTTCAGGTTTTCTGTTTTGTTTTATTTTGTTTTTGTGCTTGTACGAGGACTTGAATTCAGAGACAAAGTGCTGTTCTTTAGCTCTTTTGTTCAAGGCTAATGCTCTATAATTTGAGCCACAACTCCACTACAAGATTTTTGATGGTTAACTGAAAATAACAGTCTCAGAGACTTTTCTATTCAGGCTGGCTTACAACCACCATCCTCAGATATCAGCCTCCTGAGTAGATAGGATTACACTTGTGAGCACAGGTACCCAATGAACCCTCATGTTTCAGCTGTCATGTCAGTTACTTAGTTTTGCTTTAAAAGATAAAGATTAACTAAAAACATCTCTCTACTGTTCCTAAATATCTGTATCTAAATATCTCTTCACTGTTCCTTTTATTCATGTTCTTCAGTGCTGGCGATATTTTTTTCTTCCAAGGCCAAGACTTGAACTCAGTACCTGACACTTTGTCATTGGCTGGCACTCTACCAATCTCAATGCTGGTGATGTTCAATGCTTACTATACCTTAAGAATTACCAACCAGCCGAGGGTGACTCATGCCTGTAATCCTAGCTACTCAGGAGGCTGAGATCTGAGGATTGTGGTTCAAAGCCAGCCCAGTCAGGAAAGTCCGTTTAACTCTTATCTCTAATAAACCATTTGAAAACCGGAAGTGGCGCCCTAGCTCAAGTGGTAGAGTGCTTGCCTTGAGCTGAAGAGCTGAGGGACAGCACTCAGGCCCAGAGTTCAAGGCCCACAACTGACAAAAAAAAAAAAGAAAAAAACACCTCCAGGACAGCACCCAGGCCAACTTCAAGTTCCAAGACCAACCAAAAAAAAAAAAGAACTACCAAGAGCCAGGTGTTGGTGATGAGATCTGAGGATCAAAGTTCAAAGTCAGCAGGGGCAGGAATGTACATAAGATTCTTAAGTCCACTTAACCACCAAAACGCCGGAAGTGGAGCTGTGGCTCAAGTGGTACAGGACTAAGCCTTGAGCAAAAAAAATATAAGGAACAACACTTAGGCTCTAAGTGGAGCTGTGGCCCAAGTGGTACAGCACTAGTCTTGAGCAAAAAAGCCAAGGAACACCACCTAGGCTCTAAGTTAAAGCCCTACTACAAGCACACACAGTCACCAGAAGGCTTAGAGATGTAGATGTGGTACAGGGGCAAAATGCTTGCCCAGCAAGTATAATACCCTGAGTTCAAACCCCAGTACTGCCAAAAAGATAAAAAATACCAGAGGAGATTTTTGAGAATTCAGATGCTTCATATCCCATGTTCTGGCAATTATTTAAGGGTATTTATTTATTTATTAATTTTTTTTTGTGCTGGTACTGGGGCTTGAATTTAGTGCCTCAGGCTATTAGTTAGCTTTTTCATTCACAGCTGGTACTCTACCAACTTGAGCTATACCTCCAGTTCTGGCTTTTTTTTTTTTTTCCTTTTGTTACATGGAGCTTGAACTCAGAGCCTGGGTGCTGTCCCTGAGCTTTTCTCTCAAGGCTAGCAATCTACCACTTAGAGCCATAGTAACAATTCCAGCTTTCTAGTTAATTGGAGATAAGAATCTCATGGACTTTCCTGCCCGGTTGAATAAGTTTGTTTGTTTATGTATTTGTTGGTCATGGGGTTTCAACTCTGGGCCTGGGCACTGTTCCTGAGCTCATCAGCTCAAGGAGAGTGCTCTACCATTTGAGTCACAGTGGTACTTCCAGTTTTCTGGTGGCTAATTGGAGATAAGAGTCTCTGGGGCTGGGAAGGTGGCTCAGGGGTAGAGTGCTTGCCTTGCATGCATGAGGCCCTGGGTTCGATTCCTCAGCACCACATAAACAGAAAAAGCCGGAAGTGGCGCTGTGGACTCAAGTGGTCGAGCGCTTGCCTTGAGCTGAAGAGCTGAGGGACAGCGCCTAGGCCCAGAGTTCAGGTCCACAACCGGCCAAAAAAAAAAGTCTCTCAGGACTTTTCTGCCCAGGCTGGTTTCGAACAGTGGTCCTCAGATCTCAGCCTCCTAAGTAGCTAGGATCACAGGAGTGGGCCACTGGCACCTGGCTTGAGTAAGTTTTTGGTATATTTAGATCAAGTAACAATCTACAGAACTACTGACATTTAACAATTGTGATTTAACATGATTGGATTCTAAGATTTTATTTAACATAATACAAATGGGGTTCTAAATTATAGGTGCTATAAACCAATGGGTGAACTGACCTTAAATTATATTTTGTTTTCTAATTCATTTATTCCACACAGAGCTGAGATACAATATTCCTTATTTCAAGGAAGGAAAATGGTATACTGTAGGCTTTCTGAGCCATACACATGTACAAAACAGTTTAATTTTCTCCCTATGAAAATAATCAACCTTCTTCCTAATATTCCACTGAACAAAAAATAAAATAGGCACATCTACTCTTTGCACCTGACCATCAAAATCTGCCAAAATGTGATTAAAAAAAGCACAAAGGTCCCATTTCAGCACTGACCTATTGCATCCCCAGCCCCAGGCTCTACTTTGCTAGGAGCTGGCTGGGGTGGTGCTGGGCTACTGTTCTTCACAGGCTCAGCAGTTATCCCTGAGGTAGTTTCTTTGCGAGAGGCTTTGGGTGGAGGTGGCTCTTCTACCACAACACCACTTTGTCGCTGTCGTCGCCGTTTCTTGCTCCACAATTCATGGCAATCCTGCCAGCGAGGGAGGCTAGAAAAAGACAAAGCAAAGGGAAACGGTGATATTAAGTAAATGGAAGGATAGAGGATTAAAATGGGAAAGCAAGAGTATGGGAAATGGAAAGAATAAAGAGAACATAAAAAATAAGTAGGTAAAAGCAGTAAACATATCATGGTAGCTGGGAGCTAGTGGCTTACCCTTACAATTCTAGGCTGAGATATGAGAGTTGTTCAAAGCCAGCCTTGGCAGGAAAGTCCGTGAACTCTTATTTCCAATTAACTACCAGAAAAGTGGAAGTGAAGCTGTGGCTCAAAGTGGTAGAGTACTAGCCTTGAGCAAAAAGAGCTCAGGGACAGCCCAGGCACCTGAGTTCAAGCGCCAAAACCAACAAATGAATTAATGAATTAAGTAATTAATATCATGGCAGATGGTAGTCTGAAGAAATAAAAGTTAAAGGTTCAAAACTTATACAGTAAGAAATGAGGATCTTGCAAAAGCTAGGGACACACTTGCTATATAAACTCCCATATTCTAGCCAAATATTCTTTGTAATAGGAATAAAAGAGAACTTTATTGGCCAAATTTCAGCTAAGTATAAATAGAGCAGAGATTGGTTTAGTAATCACTACAAAAATCTAGGAAGAATGGTAATTTAAATCTTGGAAGCATATAAATATACCATAATTAAACTATCTCTGCAAAATCAACATATGTGTTATTTGGTCTGTGAGAACTGAAAACTAATTCTTCCTCTTACTATCCATGGAATCTCCGTGAGTAGGCATTAAGATTTTCATGTATGGAGTTTAGCATTATTTATTATTTGATATATTTTCTGATTTTGCCATACTCAATAGTGCAAATAGCTCAAATAAGTCATATCTTACAGATCCATGACAGGGCTGGAAATGTGGCTTAGTGGTAGAGTGCTTGCCTAGCATGCATGAAGCCCTGCGTTAGATTCCTTAGTACCACATCAACAGAAAAAGCTGGAAGTAGGCTGTGGCTTAAGTGGTAGAGGGCTAGCACTGAGCAAAAAAAAGCACCTAGGCCCCAAGTTCAAGCCCCAGGACTGGCAAAAATAAACCCAAAAACATCCCATGACAAGAATTTCAAGTTTCAGGGAAAAGCTTATGTGTTTTAAACTATATTTAGTGTACCAAAATTCTAGTGAATAGACAAATATGGACATTTCTTTGGCAATTTACAGTTACTGTCTATTCACATACTAATAAGCTATATATTCCTTAAAGATACATTTATCTTTCTTTCTTTCCTACCTTCCTTCCTCCTCTTACTTTCTTTGAGGTACTAGAGGTTAAACTCAGTTCTTACTAAGGCAGGCACTAAGCTACACCTACAGCCTGTTTTGCTCCGATTATTCAAGATATAGTGTTGATGTTTGCCCAGACAGGCTAGAACCCAGGTCCTCTTAATTATGCCTCTAAAGTGGCTAGGATAATAGGCACACACACTGTGTCCAGCTTTTTTTGTGGAAATAGGGACTCTCATTTTGCCAGGGCTGGCCTGGAACCTTAACACTCTCAATTTCAGCCTCTTGTATAGCTATAATGATAGGCATTCATCACAGACCAAGCCAGTCTCTACAGAGACCAGGGTCTAAAATAGTTCATGCCAAGCTGGCTGAAACCATGATCCTCTTGGTATTTACCTCCCAAGTAGGTAGTCTCTCTTCTTTTCTTTTCTTTTTTCCTTTCCTTCCCCCTATTTTTTTTTCAATAAGTGCCAGTCCAGGGGCTTGAACTCAAGGACTAGACACTTTTCCTGAACTTTACTGCTTAAGGTTAGCACCTTGCCACTTGAGTCACTGCCCCACTTCTGGCTTTTGGGTAGTTAATTGGAGATAAATCTCATAGACTTTCCTGCTGGGTTGGCTTTGAACTGTAATCCTCAGATCTAAGCTCCTGAGTAGCAAGGATTATAGGCAAGAGCCACTGATATCCAACAATCATTCTTTTTTTGAGACAGGGTCTTATCACATAACCCAGGCTGGCTCAAATTCTCAATCTTTTAGCCTTAGCTTCCTAAGTTTTAAGATTACAAGCATGCATCATCACATCATCACATCAGGGAAAGGTATTTTCCTTTTTGTAGTATTGGGAATAAAACTCAGAGGCGTGTGTGTGTGTGTGTGTGTGGATTCACATCATCACATCAGGGAAAGGTATTTTCCTTTTTGTAGTATTGGGAATAAAACTCAGAGGCGTGTGTGTGTGTGTGTGTGTGTGTGTGTGTGTGTGTGTGTGTGTGTGTACACTATGGGTTGAACTCAGGGTTTTACCCACTCAGAGTTTTCCCACAGTTGGCACTCTACCATTGTGTGTGTGTGTGTGTGTGTGTGTGTGTGTGTGTGTGTGTGTGTGTGTGTGTGTGTGTGTGTGTGTGTGTACACACTATGGGTTGAACTCAGGGTTTTACCCACTCAGAGTTTTCCCACAGTTGGCACTCTACCATTAAGGTAAGTTAGAGATGGATTCTCTGACTTTTCTGCCTAGGCTGGCTTTGAACTAAGATCCTGGCTGCCAGCTTCTGGAGTAGCTAGGATTATTGGCAAGAACCACCAGTGCATGGAAGTATTTAAGGTAAGAAAATGCCCCCCAAAAAACATTAAAGTAAAATATTAGTGATAAATATAAGGATAAAAGACTTCATGTACCAGAACGTGGAATAAGAATATAGAAAAAGCTGGGGTTGGGAAGGTGGCTCAGTGGTAGAGCGCTTGCCTTGCATGCCTGAGGCCCTGGGTTCAATTCCTCAGCACCACATAAGCAAGAAAGAAAAAAGCTGGAAGTGGCACTGTGGCTCAAGTGGTAGGGCGCTAGCCTTGAGCTGAAGAGCTGAGGGACAGCGCCCAGGACCAGAGTTCAGGCCCCACAACCGGACCCCCCAAAAAATTAAAGAATATAGAAAAAGCTGAGCATTAGCAACTCATGCCTATAATTCTGGCCACACAAGAGGCCATAATCCTGGCCACTGAAGAGGCTAATCTGAGGATCATGGCATGAAGCCAGCCCAACCAGGAAAGTCTGTGAGACTATTAACTTTCAATTAACCAGCAAAAGGTCAGAAGTAGAGATGTGGTTCAAGTGGTAAAATGCTAGCTTTCAGCACAAAAGCTTAAGATTAAGAGCCCAGATCTGAGTTCAAGCCCCAGAACTGATACAAAAAAAAAAATGTAGAAACTGTACACATTCTAAAGGATACAGGAAGTTCAAAAGATCAGAGATGCAGAGAACATATTTTTGTTTGGGAATGTGGCTTAGTGGTACAGTGCTTGCCTAGCATGCATGAAGCCCTGGGTTCAATTCCCCAGTACTACATAAACAGTAGTGCTGTGGCTCAGTGGTAGAGTGCTAGCCTTGAGCAAAAGAATATCAGGGACAGTGCCCAGGCCCTGAGGTAAAGCCCCAGGACTGGCAAAATAAAAATAAAAAATCCATGCCCTGACAATACTGTAAACTAGGGAAGCTGGCTCATGCTACTTAGGGATTGAGATCTGATTGGGGTTTGAACCAGACAGGAAAGTCCATTGAGACTCTTACCTCCAATTAACCAGCAAAAAGCCAGAAATGGAGCTGTGGTTTAAGTGTTAGAGTGCAAGCCTTGAGCAAAAAAGCTAAGAGATAGTAATCAGGTCCTAAGTTCAAGCCCCATTATCTACACCAAAATTAAAAAAGAAAGAAAGAAAACTAAACTGGGTACTAGTGGCTCACACCTGTAATCCTAGCTATTCAGAAGGCTGAGATTTGAGAATCACAGTTCCAAACCAGCCTGGGCAGGAAAGTCTATGAAACTCTTACCTTCAATTAACTTCCAGAAAATTGGAAGTGGCATTGTGGCTCAAAGTGATAGAGCACTAGCCTTGAGCAAAGAGCTCAGGGACAGCACTCAGGTCCTGAGTTCAAGTCACATGACTGACAAAAGAAAAAAAGGAAGGAAAAAAAAAAAAGGAAGGAAGGAAGAAGGAGGGAAAGAAAGAAAGAAAAGGAAAAAAAGAAAACTAGAAGGAGTATTTTCAAAGAAGTTATGTAGGGCAATATGCTAGTAGTCTGGACACAAAAGAAGATTGGTTGAATTAACTACCAACACTGCAGTTAATCTTTGCAAAACAATGAAACAAACCTCCTTATCAGCCATAATATTCAAGGACATCTATCCAGAACTTGCAGTTTTTATAAAGATATATTGAGTTTTCTCATCTTCTGGGCTTATGCGAAGAATAAGGTCACTACAAGGCCACCAGTACTTACTCTGGGGGAGCCATTTTGCTGAGTTCCACATCTTTAAGGAAGTCACTCTGTAGAGTCTGTTCAGCTGTGCAACGCTTGCTAGGATCTAGTGTCAGCATGTGGTCCAGTAAATCAAGTGCTGCTGAAGGAATGCTGTAGGAAGAAACAAAGAAAGCATAGGTTTACAAGTATTTCAGTGTTCTAAAACCTGTAACTTTGCATCAAAAGGTCTCTGAATTTCCATCTCCATGTAAAACTAAGGAAAAGGAGCTAGAAGTTGGCTAATGCAAGCAAATGTATTTGCTCCTACATAGACTTAAGAAAGGCTATGAGTGAAAAATATGAAGCCAAAGGTTCTGTTCTCTTTTCCCTGGGAAGATCAAAAAGTCTGTAAGGAAGTTTAATGTAATAGTCTTCTAAGTACCTAAAAGCCTTTAGAAGAGATGTTACAAAAAAGAGTTTTTATATATATATATATACCCAAAAAACTCATGTAACTGTTTCAAAATATTTGCTGTAACAAATCAAGACAACACTAAGCTATTAAAAAGGTCCCAAAACATAAGCTAGACACAGAAAAGAAATATACATTTTGGCCAAACTCACAAAGAGAATTCTTCTCGTAGGCGCCTTCTATATTGCTTCTTGGGTTTCATGGTATTAAAATAGGGCAGCTTGATAACATCAGGCCACACAGCTGGACAAGGGCTACCACAGAGACGACTGAAAACAAAGCAAGAAGCAAGAGCAAAGAACTGAGTCAGCATCATGAATTCTGAATGTTCTAAGAGCAGAAATTACCACCTGGGGAAACTTTGGTCACTAGATTATAAGGCATGCAGAAAGGTAAATATAACCTTATTGCTTTAGGGACAGAAGGAATAGGATAGGAAGGTTATGGAGGTTGGGACACAGCTCAACCAGTAGAGTATGGGCCTATAAAGTATAAAGCCCTAGCTTTAATCCTCAGTAAGGGGGGAGGGGTAGTTGATAACAGGACAATAAGAGAAAATACAGACATAACAATCCAGAATAATTCATATTACTTGATTTATAATACATGTTTTTAATTCTCCACACAGTATTCATTACTAATTTTGTTCTATTTAGTGAGTATTAATTTCCTTCAAGTCCCTACTAACAAGGAAAAGTAAGAGAAGACTAAGAAGTTTTTAAACTGAGAGATTACCATGACAAATAGTGAGTTAAGTGCCTACAAAATGGGTTATTTATGTTGTTGGGTGGTGATGGTATTGTTTGTGTGAGCTTTCTTTTTCCTTTTTCTGCTTCTCAGGAGGGGGGCGACAGAGGGATGCAGAAATGAAGGAAGGAAGGGTGAACAAATCCAATCATGGTATTCAATATATACCATGCAGAAAAAGAGCTATGAAACTTATGGGCAGGGATGAGAGGAAGAAACAGGGGAAAGCAAAGGAAGGAGTGATATTGTCCAAAAGAGAAAAATGTACGCATTACCTGAATTATAAAAATGGAAACCCCTCTGTACAACCCCTTAAATAGTAACAATAAAATTATATTAAAACAAAAATGTCTACAAGGATCTGTAGCATGGTTCAAGTGGTAAAGTACCTGCCTAATAAGCAAACAGCCCAAGGTTCAAAAAAGAACCTAGGTCGCAAAAAAAAAAAAAAAAGACTATAAGCTAAGTTCTGTCCTAGCTACTTGGGAAGTAGAAATTGGGAGAATCAAGGTTTGAGGCCAGACAGGTAAAAAGTTCACAAGACCCTACCTATCTCAATACTGGATGCAGTAGTGTGGACTTAGCTATGTGAAAGGCTGAGATCAGAAGGATCTTAGTTATAATCCAGACCAGTCGAAATATTTTACAAGACTCCATACATATCTCAAGAGAAAAAGCTGGAAATGATGGTATACACCCCATACCCAGTTATTGTGGAAACACAAATAGGAAGATTGAAGTCTAGAATGAGCTAGACAAAAAGCAAAACCTTATCTCAAAAATTGGAGCAGCTGGAAGTGGCGCTGTGGCTCAAGTGGTAGAGTGCTAGACTTGAGCTGAAGAGCTGAGGGATAGCATCCAGGTCCAGAGTTCAAGCCCCATGACCGACCAAAAAAAAAAAAATCAGAGCAGCTAGCTAGGCATTGGTGGCTTATGCCTATCATCTTAGCTACCTAGGAGCTTGAGATATGAGGATCTCCATTAGAAGTCTTCCTGGACAGAAATATCCATGAGACTCTTATCTCTAATTAATCACTAAAAAAGCCAGAAGTAGAGCTGTAGCTCAAGTGGTAGAGCATTAGCCATGAATAGAAGATGCTCAAGGACAGTGCTTAGGCCCTGAATACAAGCCCCAAGACTGGTGCGCTCACACACACACACACGCACGCACGCACGCACGCACGCACGCACGCACGCACGCGCGCACGCACGCGCGCACACACCAGAGCAGCTGTGTACCAGCAGCAGTTGACTAAGGAGGGCTAAGATCTGAGAATAGAGGTTCAAAGCCAGCCGAGACAATAAAGTCCAGGAGACTCTTTATCTCCGATTAACCACCAGAAAACTGGAAGTGGTGCTGTGGCTCAAAGTGGCAGAGTGCTAGCCTTGAGCAAAGTATTTCAGGGACAGCGCCCAGCCCTGACTTCAAGCCCCACAACTGACAAAAACAGAAAAGAAAATTATGTAGATCATGATTTTTTTTATACAAGAAGATAAGACTAAGACATATATTAAAATTAAGCAGAGAAACCATCACTTAGTAGTGATTGAAAAACATTCAAAATTTGAAAATTACATTATATACTAGGATATATAAGAACACATGCATAGCTATACCTGATCAGTTCAAGCTGAGCCAATTCCAGATTGGCTTGAAAAATAGGCTTCTTTGTGAACAGTTCTCCAAGGATGCATCTAAAAAGAGTGAAATTGAGAGGTCAGAAGAGAAATTTCTGGAGTCTACTTAAAGTATTTCTCAAAAAACTTTTATAGTTAACTTGGCTGCATTCAATATGCTGTGTTGCAAACTAGCCCAGAGCTAGCCTTGAGCTGAAGAGCTGAGGGACAGCGCCCAGGCCCAGAGTTCAGGCCCCATGACCGGATACTGCCCCCCCCCCCCCAAAAAAAAAAAACAAACAGCAAGTATAAAGAATTTAAACTTTCTTACAGATTAAATTTTAGTCACCTGTAGAGAATAGTCTATAAAAAGAGAAGAGTGCTTGATTTCTAACATTATAAATTAAGGAAATAACTAAAGGTAATTATACAAGGATAATTATACAAGATAAACAGAATATTAGTTTTTGTCATTAATCTACTCTGAAGACATGTGCTATAATATAGATCTCTTCGCATTTATTTACAAAGAAAATAATTATGTTATCAATAAGCCAAGATCAGTTTCAAAAGCTCTTTCAAATGAATTTGGCTTCAAGACTTTTGTCATTTGAAACAGGTTGTCAGAACCACATGGACATATTTACAGAACACATACCTCTCCACAACTTTTATCAACTGTAGAAAGGAAACAGTAACTTCTTTTCTTTCTTTCTTTTTTTTTGGTTGGTAGTGGGGCTTGAATTCTTGGCCTAACTTTTCTTTTTTTGCTGGTCCTAGTACTTGAACTCAGGGCTAGGGTATTGTCCCTGAGCTGTTTTTTTTTGTTTTTGTCAGTCATGGGGCCTGAACTCTGGGCCTGGGCACTGTCCCTCAGCTCTTCAAGCTTAAGACTAGCGCTCTACCACTTGAGGCACACACAGCGCCACTTCCAGCTTTTTTTGCTTATGTGGTGCTGAGGAATCGAATCCAGGGCCTCATGCATGCAAGGCAAGCACTCTACTATTGAGCCACCTTCCCAGCCCTGAGCTGTTTTGCTCAAGGATAGCTCTCTACCACTTAAGGCACAGCTCTACTTCTAGCTTTTTGCTAGTTAATTGGAGATAAGAGTCTCAATGGACTTTCCTGCCTGCGTTCAAACCCCAATCCTCAGAACTCAGCCTATAATGGGTGTGAACTGCTGACACAAGTAACTTTTTAGCAGAGGGAGGAGGGAGAACACATTAACCTAGTGGCCAAAATTAACATCATAACTAAAGGGCAAATAACAATTAAGTACAGATGCAATAACCTTACGAGAATTATAACACTGCTTATGGGATATTCTAGTCAATATCATATAAATGTTAATAAAAAACATTTTAGTTGTATAACTTGAATTCATCTAGTAGTTGGTCTATACTCTTCAAAAGTGTAAATGTCAGGGCTGGGAAGGTGGCTCAGTGGTAGAGTATGTGCCTCGCACACATGAGGCCCTGAGTTCAATTCTTCAGCACCACATAACTAGAAAAAGCCGGAAGTGATACTGTGGCTCAAGTGGTAGAGCGCTAGCCTTGAGCTGAAGAGTTGAGGTATAGCGCCCAGACCTAGAGTTCAAGTCCTATGACCACCACCAACAACAACAAAATAGTGTAAATGTCATAAAAGATAAAGGCTACATGGCCTGGGAAGGTAGCTCAGTGGTAGAGTGCTTGCCTCATATGCATGAGGCCCTGGGTTAGATTCCTCAGTGCCACATAAGCAGAAAAAGGTAGAAGTGGTGCTGCGGCTCTAGTGGTAGGGCACTAGCCTTTAGCTGAAAAGCTGAGGGACAGTGCCCAGGCCCAGAGTTCAGACCCCATGACTGACCCAAAAAAAAAAAAAAAAAAAAAAAGATAAAGGCTACAGAACTGTTCCATAGTAGAGATTTTTTTAAAAACAGCAACAAGCCAGACACAATGGTACCATATATGTACTCTTAACTAGTTAGGAGGCTTAACTACTTGAAAGGCTGAAGTGGGAAGATCACTGGAGTCATTAAGTTAAAAAACCAGCCTTAGCAATAGTGGAGAGCCTATCTTCAAAAAAAAAAAAAGGACAACTAAGTTTATTACATTATATGATGCTATGCTGAATTCTGGAGGGGAAGTATTATTCCAATGATATTATTAAGGTACTAATAAACTAGAATATAGAAGGTATACTAAATTACTATATTAAATAACAACCACAGGGGTTGGAGGTATGGCTCAGTTGGTAGACCACTAGCCAGTGAGCAAAAGGGTCAACTACCAAATTCAAGTCCGTGTTGGAACAACAACACAGCCACACAAAAAAATCATTCTAGGAATGTTAAATTTCCCATATTTGATAATTGTACTCAGCTTATATAAGAAAGCATCTTTATATTTAGGGACTACATGTTAAACATTAAGAGGAAAAGCAGTGGGCTGGGAAGGTGGCTCAGTGGTTGACCGCTTGCCTTGCATGTTCGAGGCCCTGGGTTCGATTCCTCAGCACCACATAAGCAAAAAGAAAAAAGCCGCAAGTGGCGCTGTGGCTCAAGTGGTAGAGCGCTAGCCTTGAGCTGAACAGCTGAGGGACAGCGCCCAGGCCCAGAGTTCAGGCCCCACTACTGGACCCCCCCCCCAAAAAAAAGAGGAAAAAGGAGTAAGTTATAATAACTTTCATAGTTCTAGAAAAAATATGAAATATATATTTATGCTGGGAAGGTGGCTCAGTGGTAGAGTGCTTGCCTTGCATGCATGAGGCCCTGGGTTTGATTTCTCTGCACCACTTAAGCAGAAAAAGCCAGAAGTGGCACTGTGGCTCAAGTGGTAGAGCACTAGCCTTGAGATGAAGGACAGTGTCCAGGCCCAGAGTTCAGGCCCCATGACCAACAAACAAACAAACAAATAATATATATGATAGATGTGCAAATGTGACTAACATGAATAAGTCTCAAAATAATTTTCATAAAATAAAAAAAGCTGGGGAGAGAAAATATATACTGTATGATTCCACTTGTCTAAAACTCTAGAAATTATAGTGACAGAAAGCTAAATAGTGGTTTTCCAAGGAACAGAACAGTATAAATAGATTACAATGAAGTTCAAGGAAACTTTTTCAGACTTCATATATAATTTGCTAGTTAGTTACTTCCCTGATCTGCAATAAATACTCCACTATATTGAACATTCCACTAATTTTTCTTTTTTTTGTTTCTTTTTTTTTGGGGGGGAGGGGGGGTGTCCGGTCGTGGGTCCTGAACTCTGGGCCTGGGCGCTGTCCCTCAGCTCTTCAGCTCAAGGCTAGCGCTCTACCACTTGAGCCACAACGCCACTTCCAGCTTTTTTCTTTTTTGCTTATGTGGTGCTGAGGAATGGAACCCAGGGCCTCATGCATGCAAGGCAAGTGCTCTACCACTGAGCCACCTTCCCAGCCCCTAATTTTTCTTTAAAGATTATTTTATACAAACATCTTTAGAAGAACTATCATAGATTACTAAAGTAGTAAATTCACATAAAAAATTAAGTGAAGCCCAAAATTATAAGTCATTGATGTTCAAAGAAAGCCTAATTTTCTGTTGTTTTACATTCCAATTGTTTTATTCTTTTTATTTGATTTTATTTACGTTTTTGTCAGACCTGGGGCTTGAACTCAGGGTCTGGGCATTGTCCCTGAACTTTTTTGCTGAAGTCTAGCAATCTACCACTTGAGCCAGAGAATCACTTCTGGCTCTTTCTGTTTATGCTGTACTGAGGAATTGAACCCAGGGCTTCATGCATGCTAGGCAAGTACTCTACCACTAAACCACATTTCCAGTCCATGTTTTCTTCTTTTTTTTTTTTTTTCATACAGGATCTCACTGTGTAGGTCTGACTGGCCTTAAACTCAAAATCCTCCTGCTTTAACCTCCTGAAGACTGGAATAACACTGTGGCCAGCTGGGTTTTGTATTCTTTTTTATATCATTTTTCAGTGCTTTGCTAGGAAAAACCTTATTATATAATCAATACTTTACTATTACATTGAAGTGGCAGGATGCATAAACAGAAAAAAAAAAATAGTACCCAAGGAGCTATGAACTTTCCCCATGTATCTTAATGGTACGTTAACTTTAGAGCCTATGAGTGACAATTTAAATGTTAATACTATTAAAACAAATAGCCCAGAACACAAACATACCCAGTTTGAATCAGTTAACTAAAACTTCATTTTATTTCGGTAGGCCATTATAAAAGTTTTTTTTTAACTTATTAAACTTCTATAAGCTATTCTTAAAGACAATAGCGAGGAGTAGGAATGTGGCTTAGTGGTAGGGTGCTTGCCTAGCATATATGAAGCCCAGGGTTTGATTCCTCAGTACCACATAAACAGAAAAAGCCAGAAGTGGCACTGTGGCTCAAGTGGTAGAGTACTAGCCTTGAGCAAAAGCAGCTCAGGGCAGTGCCCAGGCCCTGAGTTCAAGCCTCAGGACTGGCACAAAAAAAAAAAAGAGAAAGGGAATGAATGAAAAAGGTGACATGCTTTATGAAGGAGTAGATGTTAAGAGTCATAAAGCATGATGTGTGTATGCTACATCAGAGCAAATAATAAACATGGAGCTGAGCACTGGTGGCTCAAGCCTGTAATCCTAGCTACTAGTAGGCTGAGATCTGATGATCGCAGTTCAAAGTCAACCTAGGGATGGAAAATCTATGAGACTCTTATCTCCAATTAACCACCAGAGAACCGTAAGTGGCATTGTAGCTCAAGCGATAGAGTGCTTGCCTTGAGCTGAAGAGGTCAGGGACAGTGCACAGACCCAGAGTTTAAGCCCCACTACCGATAAAAAATAAATAAATAAAATAACAAACATGGCTTAAACTATTCCTCTAACACATGAACTAAATATTATTTTCTGCTGAAGGAAGGCATAGGAATTAAGACTCCTTAAAAAACAACAACATTGATTTCAGGTCTGGAACAGAAATAAATATGAAAATAAGAACTAAAAGATTACTATGATTATAATCAAGAGAACTTTGACCTGTAAAGCTCCCAGTAGCCAAAGACTAAACAGTGTGAACAAGAAGATAATATGCAGGGAACTGATGACTCACACCTGGAATCCTAGCTCAGGAGGCTGAGATAGGAAATTAATCCAGGGTAGAAAATTCTGAGAGGGCTGGGAATGTGGCTTATTGGTAGAGTGTTGCCTAGCATGCATGAAGCCCTAGGTTCAGTTCCATATAAACAGAAAAAGCTGGAAGTGGTGCTATGGCTCAAGTGGTAGAGTGCTAGCCTTGAGCAAAAGGAGCTTAGGGACAGTGCCCACACCCTGGGTTCAAGGCCCAGGACTGGCCAAAAAAAAAAAAAAGAAAAGAAAGAAAGAAAAGAAAATCTGTGAGATTCTATCCCCAATTATTCAGCAAAAAAGTTGACTGGAGGTATGCCTCAAGTGGCAGATGGTCAGCCAAGCAAGCAAGCAGAGCAAGTATGAACCCTGAGTTGAAACCTTCACACTGCACTGTCAAAAAAATAAAGAGAAGCCAGGGACTAGAAGCTGAAATCAAGGTTTAAATAAAGCCAACCCTGATTTCAAGAAGCCCTACAACCAATTAAAAAAAAAAGAAGAGGAAAAAGACCATGCTAGCATGAAAAGGTAGCTTATACATATATCCCTAGCTAATCAGGAGGCTGAGATTTAGGCAATGATATTCAGCCCAGGCAAACAAATCCATGAGAATCCTGTTTCCAATTAACCACCAAAAAAGCCCTGGAAATGAAATATGGCTCAACTGGTAGCATTCCAGCTGTGAGCAGCAAAGCTAAGCCAGAGGATCAAGGTCCAGAGTTCAAGTCTATATAGCAGTGGATGTGCATGTACCCACCCAACTGCCCCCTGCCCATGCTAAAAGGCAACTAGGGAATGTAACTCAGTGGTAGAGTGCTTGCCTAGACCTTTGATTCCTAGTAACACAAACTCCCCATCTCTAAGAATCATGATTAGAGAGAAAAAAGAAAACAAAACAAAAAAAAAGCTGTAAGAATACAATCAATAAATGACCTAGTTTCCACTAAGAAATTCTAAGAAAATAAAACCAAATCAAATCATGAGATGGAAGGGGTATGCCTAATTAAAACTTGAGCTGGTGGCATGGATCAAGTGGTAGAGCTTGTGCCTAGAAAATCCAAGGCCCAGAGTACAAACTAAAGTAAGTCCTAAACAAACAAGCAAAATAAATAAATAAATAAATAAAAATAAAATAAAAAAATGAGATAAACTGGGTGCAACCTGTAACCTCAGGCACTCAGTAGGCTGAAACTGAAAATACAGTTTGAGGCAAATATGGCAAATTAGTGAGTCCTTTTGTTATTTAATTTTTTTTGTTTTTTTAATGAAAAATAAAAAAAGACCTGGGAAATGTTAGCTTGGTGGTAGAATGCTAGTCCAGTATACTAAACATCTTGGGCTCAATACTCAGTACCAAAGAAACAAACAAACAAAAAGACAAGCCCAGTGCTGGTGGCTCCTGCCTGTAATCCTAGCAACTCAGGAGGCTGAGATCTGAGGACTGCAGTTCAAAGCCAGCCCAGGCAGCAAAGTCCGTGAAACTCTTATCTCCAATAAACCACCAGAAAACTGGAAGTGGCACTGAAGCTCAAGTGGTAGTGTGCTAGCCTTGAGCTGAAGAGCTGAGGGACAGCATTCAGGCCCAGAGTTCAAGCCCCATAACTACCACCACCAACAACAAAAAAGACAAGATAATAATCAACTGCACTTTGATTTTATTATTTGAACTTACCAGAAGCTATCATTTGGATCCTAATTTATTTTATTTTTTCCAGTTTCCACATTTTTACTGTCTTTTTTTAGACAATTGAAATATTTTAAATGAATGTTTCTGGAGTTAAGAAATACCCAAGAGAGGGGCTGGGAAGGTGGCTCAGTGGTAGAGCACTTGCCTTGCATGCTCGAGGCCCTGGGTTCGATTCCTCAGCACCACATAAGCAAAAAAAAAAAAGCCGGAAGTGGCGCTGTGGCTCAAGTGGTAGAGCGCTAGCCTTGAGCTGAAGAGCTGACGGACAGCGCCCAGGCCCAGAGTTCAGGCCCCACGACCGGACCCAAAAAAAAAGAAATACCCAAGAGAGCCTGGCGGGCGCCAGTGGCTCACGCCTGTAATCCTAGCTATTCAGGAGGCTGAGATCTGAGAATCTCGGTTCAAAGCCACTCGGGCATGAAAAGTCTGTGAGACTCTTATCTCCAATAAACCACTAGAAAACTGGAAGTGGCACTGTGGCTCAAGTGGTAGAGCGCTCACCTTGAGCTGAAGAGTGTAAGGACAGTGCCCAAGCCCAGAGTTCAAGTCCCACAACCAACAAAAAAAAAAGAAAAGAAAAGTAAATACCCAACAGAATTGGTTTATCTTTTCTTTTGATCTTTCAAAAAGAACTGTAAATAGTCAAGGTAAAAATAGTACATGTTAAACTGTAAGATATGGACAAAAAAAAGGTTAAGAGCCTTACCCGCAGCTCCAAACATCTATGGCTGGTGTATAACGTTCCTCTCCCAGTAGTAGCTCTGGAGGCCGGTACCAGAGAGTAATGACTTTATTTGTGTAAGGGCGACTGAAACATAAAACCATCAAGACACAGATTTACAATGGCTTTTCATGAAAAAATATACAACTAAATGCAACTAGAAATAGATGCCAAGTATACAGCTTGATCACAGCAAAAGACAAAGTAACAGATAAAGAAATAACTTCTATTCCAATGTGCACTGACAAAGTATTACAGCCAAGGACTGGTTTAAGAGTTTAGATAAGCTAGCACCAATGTGAGGATTGAGGTTCAAAGCCAGCCCAGACAGACAAATCTGTAAGCCCCCAATACTGGCAAAAAACGATGTACAAAAACAAAAACAAGACCCACTTTCAGATAATTAGCAAACTCTTATTAGATAATTAGGAAACAGTTATTAATTAGCAAACAGTAATTTCAATTGAGAATAAAAAAGATTCTTTACTATTTCCTTTGTGATCTTTTTTCTTTCCTTATTTACTTGTGCCAGTAGTTCTGGGTTTTGAACTCAGGGCATGGGCATTGTCCCTGAACTTTTTTGCAAGGATAGCCACAGCTCCACATCTGGCTTTTTGGTAGTTACTTGGAAATAAAGAGTCTTACTAACAGACTTTGCTGCCCAGGCTGGCTTCAAAGAGCTATTCTAAGATCTCAGTCACCTGAGTAGCTAGGATTATAGGCATGAGACACTGGCACTTGTTTTTGTTTTTTTCCCTAGTCCTGGGGCTTGAACTCAGGGCCTGAGCACTGTGCCTGAGCCTCTTTTTTGCTCAAGGCTAGCACTCTCCCACTTGAGCCACAGCACCATTTCCAGCTCTTTCTGTTTTTTTTTGTTTTTTTTGGGGGGGGGGGGTCCAGTCGTGGGGCCTGAACTCTGGGCCTGGGCACTGTCCTTCAGTTCTTCAGCTCAAGGCTAGCGCTCTACCACTTGAGCCACAGCGCCACTTCCAGCTTTTATCTTTTTGCTTATATGGTGCTGAGGAATCAAACCCAGGGCCTCATGCATGCAAGGCAAGCGCTCTACCACTGAGCCACCTTCCCAGCCCCCTAGCTCTTTCTGTTTATATGGTACAGAGGAATCAAACCCAGCACTTCATGAAGGCTAGGCAAGCACTCTACCACTAGTGGCTTTTTAAATTTTTTTTTATTTTTTTATTTTTTGGTCAGTCGTGGGGTTTGAACTCTGGGCTTGGCTGCTGTCCTTGAGCTCTTGAGCCACAACGACACTTCTGGTTTTCCAGTGATTTATTGGAGATAAGAGTCTCATGGACTTTCCTGCCTGGGCTGGCTTTGAACTGCGATCCTCAGATCTCAGTCCCCTGTGTAGCTAGGATTATAGGCGTGAGCCACCGGCATTCGGGTCTCGGCTTTTATTTTTTGAGATGGAGTCTTGCTATGTTGCCCATACTGGCTTAGAATCCTTGGACTCAAGTGATCCTCCTTTCCATAGGTAAGTCTGATAATGCCTTACCTCTCTTCAGAATTATAGAGCCGTGCAAGTCCAAAATCTGCAAGTTTGATTTGCCCACTGTAAAACAAAAATAATTATTTTTATAAGTAACAGCAGTACCCTCCAAACTATACCTGAAAGTTAAGTGCCAATTAAGGAGCTAAAAGCATCACAAAATGAATTTTTAATCTCTGATCTCTTATTTCCATTGTTAAAGATCGTTCTTACCAATGAAGTGTCTTTGACTACTAAAGTTAACAATACTTCAGGCTATTTTTGAAAACTATTCATGCATTTTTTTTTTTTTTTTTGGTCCGGTCGTGGGCCTGAACTCTGGGCCTGGGCACTGTCCCTCAGCTCTTCAGCTCAAGGCTAGCACTCTACCACTTGAGCCCCAGCGCCACTTCTGGCTTTTTTTTTTCTTTTTGCTTATGTGGTACTGAGGAATCGAACCCAGGGCCTCATGCATTTTTTAACTAATCAAAAACACTACTGTTTATTTTTCTGTATGAGTTACGGCAAGAGTGTATTTGAACAGCAAAAAGGGTTGGAGGTATGCCTCACATCTGCCTAACAAGCATGAGGATTTAAGTCAAACCCTTGTACTGAAGGGAAAGTTTCTCAGAGGTGCTGACTCTTTAGGTCACGTGAATCTGTTTTTATCCTCCCCAGTACTGGGAACTAGATCCAGGGCTCTAATACTTCCAGCTCTGAACCCGAATTTTTCTCTTCTGTGAAGGCAGTACTGAGGCTTGAACTCAGGGCCTTGAGTTTATTAGACTGGTAATCTACCACTTAAGCCATACTTTTTTTATTAGTATGTGTTAGTTGTACAGGGGTTTCATTGTGAAATTTATGCACTTGTATACAAAGTAGTATCCAGATCATCCTTTCCCACTTTGCCACTCTCCCCCAACTCCCTCATTAAAACAATTTTAACAGGTTTCATTGTTCTATTTTCATACATGTAACTAAGCTATGTCCATTATATTCATCATGATTCACCCTCTTTGTTAGGTGTTCTTCCTCCTGGTGCCTACCCTCTTATGAGCCTGTTTTACTTTCTTGATATATATATATTTTTTTTAATTACACCAAGGAGTTTCACTATAGTACTTTAGTCATTCATGTCTTTTTTTTTTTTTGGGGGGGGTCCAGTCGTGGGGCCTGAACTCTGGGCCTGGGCGCTGTCCCTCAGCTCTTCAGCTCAAGGCTAGCGCTCCACCACTTGAGCCACAGCACCACTTCCGGCTTTTTTCCTTTTGTTTATGTGGTGCTGAGGAATCGAACCCAGGGTCTCAGGCATGCAAGGCAAGTGCTTCTACCACTGAGCCAACTTCCCAGCCCAGTCATTCATGTCTTAAGTTTTACTTAGAATGACCCTATTAGTTTCTCTTCTACCACTGCCACCCCAATCTTCTTCTGATCAACAGCTTTCATAAAAGTTCCTTATACTTTCTTCATACACTTCCACTGTATTTAAAAATTTCTACTCATCTTTCTTTTTCCTTTTCCCACATTACTCTCATCTTCTTACACAGTCCCACAGTTAGAATCCTGTTCTGTGTATATGTGTATGTTTTTGTAGACAGGTATATATACATGTATGTACATGTTCATTAATATGCATTATCTTTTAAGTGTAGCTTCCACATGAGCAAAAGTATCTACTTGGCTTTTTTAGCTTAGTTTATCCTACTGACTATGAGATTCTTTTTTTTTTTTTTTTTTTGTCGGTCGTGGGGCTTGAACTCTGGGCCTGGGCGCTGTCCCTCAGCTCTTCAGCTCAAGGCGAGCGCGCTACCACTTGAGCTACAGCGCCACTTCCCTTAGTTTATCCTACTGAATAGGATGTTCTTCAATTCTATCCATTTTTCTGAAAATGACATATTTTACTTTTCTTTATGGTTATTTAATATTCCATGGAATATCTGTACCATATCTTCTTTATTCATCTATTGGGCACCTCATTTGACTATCAGGAACACTGCTTGTAATCCTATTTTTTGCTAGTTACTTCTCTTGGAATTTTCTGCTTATACTGGCTTTGAATCATAATCTTTCCACTTTTAGCTTCCCAAGTTGAGTATTACAGGTGTGATCTACTAGTGTCTGGAACTTCATTTCCATCAAATCCACATATGATGCCAATAAAGCTGGTCTGAAAAGCTTCCTTTCTTTTAAAGGGATCACAACTACAGTTCCCTCTGTTCTGTATCCCCCCCCCCCCCCCCCAATGCTGAGAATTGAACCCAGGGCTTGTGAATGCTAAGAAAGTACTCTATTAGTGAGCTACATCCCTAGTCTTAGTATTCTCTTTGACAGTGGTATCATGGAATATTAAGAAGCTGCAAATGTTGGGATGTGGCTTAAAAGTCACTTATTAATTGCCATTAATTATATTCATCTAGATTCATATAGCCTATTTTAATCAAATTTATACACTTGCTACTGCTTGGGGAATGAAAAGCCAAATTATATTTTTGTAGAGGGCCACAGCTTCTCAAATTTCTTGACAACCTTATTCTGAGGGCTTGAGATGATCCAAATCTCAAAGCATACAGTGAGAATGAAAGTTATAATGGCAACAGATATATCGTGGTAGTAATTAGGCTAGACCTAAGTATTACCAGCATGTTTCGTCTCATTTACACTAGACACCAAGTTAATTACTTTTTCTTCTTTTATAGACAAGGTCTTATTACTATGTAGTCTAGAGCTAAATCCTCCTGCCTCCACCTCCCAAGTGCTGGCATTACAGGCGTTTGCTACATGCCTGGTTCAAGTAAGTAACTAATTCATTCATTTTTACAGTATGTAGAACTGAACTCAGGGCTTTGCACTTAGCTAGGTAGGCTTTACTACATGAGCCATGCCAGTCCTACTTGTGATTTTTTTTTGTGTATTTTTAAGGTTGGACACTTGGACTAGAACTTGGTACATAATGCTTTCCCTCTTTAGCTAGCACTCTACCAATTGAGCCATACTTCCAAGTGTTGGTTATTTACTTTTATAAGATTATCTATACATAGTTTTACAAAGGAATTGCCATTCAACAAAGTGTTACATAAATACAATGCATCTTGAAACCACTTAATTTTTTGATAGATGGAATTCTTAAGTTCCTAATTCCAGATCAGTAGAGAATTTGCCTTTTCTGCTCTAAATAAGGAATTGAACACAACCTGAAGAAGTAAATCATACTATCATACCATTTAGTGCTGCTCCCAATGTTTAGTTCTCTCAGTTAAGTCATGAATATTGCAGGTTAATCCTTTTGTCTTTTGTCAGCATCTTCGTCTATTCTAGTTAGCTGTCAATATAAACTTCCAGCATTCTCAGTGTCAGAATCCACCCCCCTACCCTTTCACACCTTGAAACAACAAAATTCTACTTTAAATACACCTTATTCAGAATAAAGATTATGGACACCTTATCCACTTTACCCAAACTTTACTGGGCACCAGTGGCTCATGCCTGTAACCCTAGCTACTCAGGAGGCTGGGATCTGATGATCACAGTTCAAAGCCAGCCTGGGCAGGAAAGCCCATGAGACTCTTATCTCCAATAAACCACTCAGAAAACTGGAAGTAGTGCTGTGGCTCAAGTAGGGGTAGAGTGCTAGCCTTGCTCTGAGCTCAGGGACAGTGCCCAGGTCCAGAGCTCAAGCCCCACAACATCAACAAAAAAGTTAACTTTTATTGAGACAAATATAAGGAAATGACATTCATTGAAAAAGAAAAGTTGTTAGGCACTGGTGGCTCACACATATAATCTTAGCTACTCAGGCAGAGATCTGAGGATTGTGGCTTGAAGCCACATTGGACAGGAAAGTCTTTGAGACTCTGGTTTTCAATTAATCACCAAAAAACTGGAAGTAGAGCTGTGACTCAAGCAGTAGAGCACTGGCTCTGAGCAAAACAAAAACAAAAACAAAGCTAAGGAACTAAGGAACAATGCCCACTGAGTTCAAGCTCCAGTATTGGGACTTAAAAAAGAAAAAGGCTCAAGTATAGGCTCCTTAACATTTTTGGTTTTTCTATTTCCTGGAGTTCATTTCAATAATAATTATTTTATGTGATCAGATACACAGGAATTATACCTTATATTCCTCCCCTATGAATATCTTCCTTTTATCTGTAAATCTACCTGTAACTTTATCTTTCTCATTCTCTTTTAGTTACAGAAAAAGTTTGTCAACTTCATTTCTAGCCCAAGGATAAGCAATCTCTCTAGCTACAGCCATGATTCCATCTTTTCTAGAATCTTGCACCTTTAAAGTTATTTTGGTTCTTGGAATAGGAGTTAAGAGGCTCAAGTGGTACAATGCCTACTTGGCAAGCTCCAGGCCCTTGTATGTATTTGAATGAGTATGTATGTATGCATGTATGTATGTATGTATGTATGTAAGAATTTTGCTTGTTTCCTGGATCTATTTTTTCTTCTCTATTATTTCCTTTTCCATTTAAATGCTCATATCCCCACAATATTTAATAAAAAAAAAATTAGGGACTGAGGGTTAATTCAATGGTAGAATGCTTGTCTAGTTACATAAAGCTTTTGGATCAATCCCTAGCACTGGAAAAAAAATCAAAACTAATTGAAAATATGCCCACCACTTTCTTCCCATTATACTAAACATTTTCTTAGCCCTCATTCAACACTGTCACCTCTGATTGTGTGTTCTGTGTGAGCAGTACTGGTCTCACACTTCTTTTTTACTACTTCTTGTACATCTATGATATTCCTCTTCTGTGCTCAAAGTTGGTACTCTCCACATCTCCACTTCCAGCTTTCTGCTGTTTAATAATAGTCTCACTGACTTTTGTGCTCAGACTGGCTTCAAATTATGTCTCACAGATCTCTCTGACCATTTCTCTTGGGTTCCAGTTTTGGCATCTTTTCTAAGCTACAATTGTGTGTGTGGGGGGGGGGGGTGGGGGGAGGTGGGGGGAGGGGTGTCCTGGGGCTTGAACTCAAAAGAGACTGCGCTTTTACTGCTTAAGGCTCATATTTTATTTGAGCCACATCTTACTTCGAGCTTTTTGGTGGTTAACTGGAGATGAGTCCCACACACT